TATATATATATATGTGTGTGTGTGTGTGTGTGTGTGTGTGTGTATATAGATATATGTATATGAATCTATTTTTATTCACTATATATGTATACATATATACATGTATATACATATATGTATATATATATATATATATATGTGTGTGTGTGTTAGTTTGTGTTTGTGTTTGTGTGCATAGTATATACGTGTTCCAGTTGTACCCATGCTTACAAACCCACTGTCAATATGACACTCACACACATACATACGGCCACACTCCAATGTCACCCATGTCCACACATCATTCTCATACACTCACACCAATCATCTACGCCGCCCCATTCTCACTCACACATACGCACTCTCTAACTGCCACCACACAGCGTCTACACAATCTCTGGCCCATACACTGCCACAGATCAAACAGATTCTGGAAACAGGCGACGACAGTCCAGCACTACAGACCCAGCTGGCAAATGCAGGGGACGTTCTGGGTATGTAAACCCTGAACCCTAAAGACAGTGCGCACGTTGATCTCAGTGCACCGAATGGTGCTATGTACCATTGTCTTTTGTACCGAACATTGAACGTTGTGCCACTCTTGAATTTGCCGAAGCCTCGTTTTAGAATCCATCCGAAAACGTTGAGTGCGGGACCACATAAGAACACACACATGGGGCACACCTAGTTAAACACATGGGTACACCTAGTTAGACACATGGGCACATCTAGTTGAACACATGGGCACTCCTAGTTGAACACATGGGCACTCCTAGTTAAACACATGGAGACACCTGGTTAAAAGACCACACACATCCAGTTCAGACGGGAACGGCCGGTTCACTGTGTTGCGTGTGTTTTAGGGTTTAGGGTGTAAATTTTCAATCAGTGCACTGTGATTTGTGTGTTTTAGGGTTTAGCGTTTAAATGTGATGTGTGTGGGGTGTATACATACGTATAACCACAACACTAACGCACCCTGGTACCTGTTCTGCAGACATGAACCAGTGCTACGGTGGCTTGTCGGACAGTTCCCACGGCGACGACGCGCACACAGTACTGATGTGCGCTGCTATTCACGGTCGAGAGTCCTGTGTGGATATGCTGCTGAAGTGGCCGAAGGTACGCGAGAAAGCCTTCTGCACACACATGTGACTCAGCTATATGCGTTCTGAATGTCTATGGTAGTAGACATACAGATACATATGTAATGTATTCCATGTATGTATGTATGTACACACACTGGTCTTATACACATATGTACCATGGTCCTTCATTTATACGCAGGCTCATAAGGTCTGTGTCGTACGTACATGTCCATTGGTAGAGTTCTTGCGTATAAGTCTGTTGCATAGTACAGTTGGGAGAGCGTGCGCATAGTGCCAATCTATGTCGTGACGGTAATAAGGTCTTGTTTGGTGGGTGCATTGGTGTGTGTGTGCGTGATCCCTGCCAATGGCCCTACTCCCTTCTATATTCACATTTGTTGCTACGGTTTTAGGGTTTTACCCTGAACCCCTAAACCCAGTCTTACTACGATGATAGTCACCAGTTTCTTGTACAACGATAGTCACCAGTTTCTTGTACAACGATAGTCATGTCTACCAGTGGCTTTTAGGGTTTAGGGTTTTATTGGGGTTTATGTTCTCAGTCGCTTGCTGGTGCTTGGCGCATAACTCACTGTTCTAGCTGCCCACACAGATCAACGTCAATGTCCAAAATGCCAAATCAAGAAGTACCGCACTGCACCTCGCAGCTGAAAATGGGTACGTTTGAGGTTCGCTTGGTTTCGCATTCCACACCCATGTCTGTGCACTCATATGGTTGTACCTACTTGTACTCGTATGTTTCTACCTACTTGTACTCATATGTTTCTACCTACTTGTACTCATGTTTCTACCTACTTGGACTCATATGTTTCTACCTACCTGTACTCATGTGTTTCTACCTACACCCATATCTGGATATATATATTTATTGTTCATGTGTGTATGTATGTGCGCATGATAGGCGTCAATACTTCTCTGTCATTATCAATTGTATAGGATGCCTGGGCGGGGCATTCAGAAACCCTTTTAAATTTCGAACCCCCTTCTCACCAGAGCTGGTTAATACTGAAAGATTTTAAAACGCTGCCACAGTTCCAAAACTGAGAGGTCCACGACCTTATAAACGTATTTTAAATACGAGCATATGCGTAGTTAGTTTTTCGTGGGCGTTATGCGGTTGAGCATATGCGTAGTTAGTTTTTTGTGGGTGTTGTGCGGTTTGTAGCTAGTCGAGTCTTTAGAATTGAGAGAGCTTGAAATCAAACCCAGAAGCGGGTATCATGGGGGTGTCACTAGGGTTATATAACAGGTTTGCATCAGTACTATGTATTCGCTCATGTGTTCACATACATTACAAACAGACATGCGGAAATTTGCGCGTCCTTATTACGGGGTGGTGCTCAGAGGCAATTAAGAAATACGGACGATAATACGGCTATCATGGTTGCTAAGCAACGCCGACACTCATCTGTGGTAGATGCTCTCGCGCAACATCGGGCTTCGAGGTGAAAATAAGAAAATAAAACCCTGAAAGTTATCAAGCGAAAAACAACCCTGCACTCGAAAGTGCTTTATATCCCCTGCCTTTCTCAGAGTTGAAAATCGGTGGATCCTGATTTGGTCTTTTTGACAGCACAATTGAAAGTCAATGTACGGCACTTCCAGATAAAGTCCGGTGACAAGGGCAGGGAGTGACTTTATATCTTCATGTACAGTGGTTGGAACGCGCCATTGGTAGGTGGTAAGCAACGAGAGAAAAGTATAGGAATGTCCATGGTTGCATCCTATGTGCTAGTTTGAACTATATTTTCTACACTAAAAACCAACATATGCATAAATCATAGTAACACCATACTCTCCAGGAGTCGAGTCAAGTGAAGTACACAACACATACCCATGACGGGACACACTCACAGCGGCAATCACAGGCTTCAGTCCTTCAGATCTACATATGCAAGGACAACTTTGGGAATATTTACAAATAAATAAAACCCTTTTTGTTTTTTGTTTTTTTATATATCAAAAAGTGATCCATAGACTAGCGCCTGTCGGTTAAAAAAAAATGGGAAATATGGTCAATTACATATGTAATTATGTGCTCTCTTTGTGGGATGTTTTTTTTTAAACGGCTACTAATTTTTTTGTTGTAAAAAAGCAACATTTGTTTTGAATTGTTTTTGTTTCTTTTAATTTTTAAAAAAGAGTCTGTGGAGTGTGGAATTGTGGATTGTGGAACGCGCTCTCTCGCTTGCTTTTGTTTTGTCTTTTTGGTTTTGTTTTTATTTATTTAACTTTTTATTTTAAAATAATATTAAACAAAAGCCAGTCTCACAGTGAGTCAGTGACTCACTATTTATGTACTATGTTTTTACTTTAGCCACTACTGACTTATGACTACGCACATACGCACTCTCTTGTGTTGAACAATCGAGGTTCCAATTTCAGGAATCTATTTCTCTACTACTCTCTCTGTGAGTAGAGTCTCCAAAAGATTCGTTCTTTTTAAATAAGAGCAAAATAAAAAAACAAAGAGTCAGGAGAAGTGTAAGAATCTATTTATAAATATTTTGAACTAAAAATAATCAGTAAAACAAATGCCTAAATATGGATATTTCATAAACGGCGGGCTTGGAACGTGGGATGATTGATTGATTTCCTACATTACCTGTTGCCACCTTCAAAACTTCAAAGTTCACCGGTAATCGGATATTCATAAGGATATATAAAAACTACTCGTTGTTAGGGTTATTAAACGATCTGTATGGCGGTGTGCGTAGAACGATTGCTATTTCTATGGTCCTCAAACGGATGGTGGGGCGTACACTATTCTCTCTGCGGTTTATACTGCACACTGAAGTGGAATGCCTGTATTGTATTGCCTGTATTGTATATGGGATACGTACTCACTGAGTACATAGTCAAACAACGAACCAATATTACAATACGACACTATGGCAGAAGTCGAGCCTAGTCCTATTAAAGGGTATGTATCTATGTACATGTATACTGTGTTTATATGTTTCACTGGTATTCCAGCAGTCCGCATCTAGCCCGTAGGAGTGTAAATTGATTGATTTTCACGTGTATGTAGCGTGATGCTCTTGTACAAGTACTACATAGGTTGCATTGATTAACCACATATGCGTGCGTTTGGTCGAAACGAGCATATGGTCTGTTTCAATACATTGTTATTTGTTTGCACGCGCCCAACGATTTCCAATATCGCAATGGTTCGTTAGAGCCCGCGGATAATTTGTCAATGATGAGACTACAAGTAGTACAATACAAAATCACAAGTCGATGTAATTTTAGCCTGCTTTGTTTAAAATATTCATGTTTGTTATAATGTACATACACATTGTCCGTAATAGTTTTCGGCGACTTCGTATCTGTGGATGTGTTTCACGCATAAATTATAATAATTGAGGGCCTAAATGCGTTTGTGAGTGCGCTGAGGGTATATGCACTCACATACGATACCGAATGATGTGATCGTATTATGCCAGTTAACAAAACGGCTGATCTGCTCTTAGCTACTGTATTTGTTAGGTTGTACATTTAGTCTACACGTGGACGAAGGTATCAGATGCCGGTTATACTTTGTAATCCTGTATTTGTATATATATATATATATATATGTGTGTGTGTGTGTGTGTGTGTGTATAATCCTGTTATTTTATGTATATTATATATATATACATGTATGTATGTATGTATATATACACATGCATATAAACATATATATATATATATATATGTATGTATGTAAATATATATATACATACAAATACAGGATTATACAC